TCCCCTCTTCTTGAACTTTTGTTCAACAGAAGTGACTTCTGAGCTGAGGTCATGAAAGTCAGTAACAGCTTCTGCCTCATGCTCCCACTGGGATTTCATCCATGGAACCCAGTCTCCATCCTCTGAGGAAATTCAGACCACATGAAGAACAACCAAAGTCCCAGCTCCAGTCCCTGCTGACGCCAGTGGACAGCCAGCTCTAACTTGCCTGTGAAGTGAGGGAGGTGCCTCAGAATTGGCCACAAGACGATACTGCACTGAACAGAGACCAGCCTTGCTTCCTGGGCCCTACTCAAATGCAGACTTATAAATAAAATAAATGGTCATTGTTTGAAGCCACTAATTTGGGGGGAGTTTGTTATGTAGCAATAAATAACAAGAACATAAGATATAGGGGCATTCCTACTATAGTTATTCTGGAAGCTACTTACTCCCCAAAATTCCCTTCCCTATTTTCCCATTTTCCCTTCTTCCCTTCTTCCTTTCTTTCCTTCTTTTCCTTCCTCTCTCATTTCTTCCTCCCTTCCTCCTTCCTTCCTTTCCTTTTTCTCCTGTTAGTATTTGCAATAATAATTAAATTGGACCTAATTTTAAAAATTAGTTAATGGACTGGGGTGAGAAAGTAGTTACTTGATATGTGCAAGGCCCTGAGTTCAGTCCCAGGTGCCATCAAAAAATGAAAAAAAAAAAAAAAGTAATACTTAAATTTTTCTCCAACAGCAAGAAAGGGGAAATTCTAACAAAGAAGAGTAAACTTTTCCAAATTTGCTCTGTCTTTGAGTGTGTCATTATCAAATAATGTGTGATGCTTCATTTTCCCTGTGTCTTTGATTCACGTTTAGAGAAATGGTAATTCAAAACTTTCTTATCACAGCAGTCATAGGCCATGGATATGCACACCTTCTCTAATGGCATTTTCCATAAGCAGTGAAGTGGGTGGGTCCAACTACATATAGGTGGGCTATTAATCATTTCCAACACAAGCATTAAAATGTAGGGTGTAAAATGTTGTTGGACAGTTGAATCAGCGAGGGACATACATGAGCCTGTCCAATAGCCTCTTGAGGGTCCCTCTTTGGTTTGGGGGACTAGCAGGAAGATGAAGTAGTTACATCTAGAAACATGGCGTTGCCTTCAGCCTGAGAGCCTCCTGCTAAGGTCACTGGCTGTACTTTATTTTCACCTTGTTTCATCGAACCAGTGCCATGCACATCAAGGCCTGGATAAATATTTGTGAATTGCTTGAACTTTGTTCTGTGCCCTTCAATCCTTTTAGGAAATCAATTTTGGACTTTAAAGAAGTTTGAAGATTCATTCACCAAAACCAGACTGATTTGGAGCCAATTGTGAAGTGAGCAATAAGGATACAAGGGGAAAAGAGGTATTTGAAAGTCTTGCAGAATCTTTTTGGAAAATGATTCTGTCTATGTGAGGAACTGCATATAAATTTATATCCAAAGTAAGCTTTGCAAAGCAGCTACAGGTCTGCAGACTGGTTTTCTAAGGAAGACTTTTCAAGGATTTTGTCTTCCAGCCAGCTACCACATGACCTGCCCTTGCTGTGTCCTTCTCTGTTATTTGCTAATTTGCTGACCAGTTCACCTTTCTTGTTCTGCAGACCTTCAGCATTCCCCCCTTGCCCTCCCCTGCTTCCTTCCTCTTCCCTTCCCCCATCTCCCTCTCCCAGGTTTCTTTCAGGGATCAGAGTGAGGAAGTGAGCTTCTTTGGGGAAGCTTCCTTTTCTAACCCGGAAAGGGGAGCGTGAGCTAGGGTCAGGGCCAGGCCCTGTAACCGCTAGTCACTTCAGAGATCCCTGGGAAAATCAGTTTTGCAATTTCTGTGCTAATGGGTCCAAGATTAGGCAACTTCTCTGTGGAGAGGAAGGATAGAAGCTTCCAGATGAACTGACCTCTCTAGGCTGTGGCACCGCAGCAGCTGGGCCCTTTCCTTAATTCGCTGTCAGATACAGGTTCAATTTGCCAAGTCATTTAACTTCTGCTTCCTCTACTTCCTCAGTTGTAAAATGGGGACACTACTCCCTAGCCAACATCACAGGACTTTATAAGGAACAACAAATACCGGTGATAAGCAGTTTACAACAGCAAGAGCTAACAGTTCAAAACTCAGTTCCCAAAGGAAGTTAAATACATACACCTTTTCCTAACAGTATGCACTAGGTGTCCCAATAATGCTTAAAGTCTCAGTGTCCTCCTTGGAAAATAAGGCTAAGAATAGGCCCTAACTCATAGAGCTGTTTGGAGGAGTAAACTAGAAGATATTATCTACAAAGTACAGTATTTGATACCCATAATAAATTGTTTTACCCACTCTTCACCTCATTCTGTAACATGTAATAAGTGTCACCAATCCATGACCAAAAGGCTGGAATTATAAGAGGATTCTAGAATAAGAGATAAACATTCCTTCACTTAACAGACAAGAAAGAAAAAAACCTAGGGAAAATTCCCCCATGAGACTGGATGCCTTGCCCAGGGCTACCAGATTCATTAGTGAGAGAGCAGAAGTTACAGTTCAAGTCTTCTAATTGCAAGATCCAGGCAAATCTCCCTTTAGAAAACAGTGTTGGTACTTTTATCCCCAGATAACCCTTCCTCATTCCAGTTTTAACCCTCAGACCAAGTTGTACCATTATCTACTATATACCCTAAGTTTCCTGCGGCTCCCACAAAACCTATAGATAACCTGCTCTCCCCACCCCTCTCCCCTCCCCAACACACACATACCCTATAGAAGCCAGGAAAGGTAGCATGAGGAAGCCACTAATGGGAACAGCAGGTGAGCAGGGAGGCTGTGGAACTACAGCAGGTGAGCAGGGAGGCTGTGGAACTGCAGCTGCTGGCAAAGGTTGCCCTAGTAACCATGAGGGCTTCATTCAGGAAGCCAGCCTAACTCCAAGATGCAAAATGATCCGGCTTCACACAGCTCCTTGCAAGCACAAAGGACCAGAAGAGCCCCGGTGTGGTGGAGAGAAAGGGAGGTGCACGCAGGGCAAGGTGGGGGCCCATGCTGTCAGTTACAACCTTCCACCTCTCAGGGAAGAAAAAGAAGGAAAGAAAATAGCTCTTTGAATCTTCTGGCCTATGTGAACCATAAAAAAACCACCCTTTTAACATGAGTCCTTTTGTGGCAATGGAGAGAAACAGGCTCCCCTCTGTTCACCAGCCTTATGAAACAATAGGCTAGGACAGAGGGGAGAACCCCCAAACACTGCAACTTTATGGGGGCCCTAAACTCTTCTTGATCCTTCTCCTTTATTCAGACTGGTGACAAAGACCATTTGCTCCCAATTTATTGGAATTTTTTTTTTTTTCCACAGCTTGAGCTGCTTAAATACTGTGAGCTCCCTCTCCCCAAATCACCCTCAGACACTTGCTGAATGGGCCAGGCTCAATTATGCTCCCTCCACAGGTTCAGCTCACACTGCGACCCTGCATGGCTTCCTGCTATTCATATGTGTTACTTCCCCTTTGTGGTAATGGCTTGTGGCACTTGGCCAGAAAACATTATTAATTTCAGAAGTGGACTGACAAACAACAAACCCACAGTGAACCAAGAGGAAGTGCTGGGGAGGCCAGCTGTCGGCTTGAGCCAAGCAGTAGGAACTCGATGTATGCAGCTTCTAGAAGGAAAGATGATAATCCACAAAGAGGAAATGCACTAAAATTATCCACAGCCCATATTTTTTAAAAAATGAAAAAGAGAAAAGAAATCAGAGAGAAGAAAGGAGGTGGGGGAAGAAAAAAGCACCCAGCTACTTGAGCTGCAGCTGGACAGGAAATTGCTAACGCTGCTTGCAAATCTCTACTTTGAACAGGCAGTTTAGGGAATGCCAGGAGCGGAAACTGTACAGAAGTGGATTAACAAGAGCCAAGTTGAACTGCAATCCACTTCTCCTTTCTGTGCTCCTGCTGACTTGGGACACCCAAACAGGAGACTGACTTGGTTATTTTTCTGCAGTTTGTTTTTTTTTTATAGTTAGTTGCTTAAAAATCACTCAATAGTTTGATGCAACTGCTACAGAATGAAGTCCACTTGCCTAAATGTAGATTAACAAACAGTCCAACTGATTTCTCCCATTTGTTGCTTGGGTGAAAAACTCATGGGCAGAGCCCAAAGTGTGTTTCAGTTCTTTTGATTCTGTATACCCATCTTTTTGGTTTGTGTACTTTTACACTGGGGGATGAGGTCTCAAGCAAAATGACAGGATACAAAGCCTTTAGCTTAGAAGGAAATTATTTAAAATAATCTGAGGGTTTTCTGGCCCTCATTCTGAACAAGTTAAGCACAAAAGCACTCTAGCACAAGGATGGCAAATTTTCCTCACGTGCAAATTCTAAAGCCACATCCACGCTCCAGAGAATTTAGCATGCCATGCACTTGGCAAGGGGAAAAGGGACACACCATTCTGGATTAATTTGCCATTCCAGCAAAAGGTTAACTTGCAGAATTGTGGGACAGTAACAATGCACGGAAAAATGATCTCTACTTCTTCCCTGGCATGTTTTAAGCATAACTTTGAGTAGAGGATCCTGAAAGTGAAGAACAGAGGTGAACATGTGCCTTGTTATTCTGGCACATCTTTTTATGGCTATTCATGAATATGCAAATAAATATATAAGATCAGCAAGGTATACACTAGTTTCATTTTTCTGGGGGGGGTAAGAGGGCAGTAACATCTTAAACTCATTTATACTCTAGAAAGCATGATCATGAATGATACATGATTGTCCATCCTGTGACATCATCTTGATTAGAAGCAAACTAGATTTCATAAACTGCATCTGAAACATTCTAAGTTTGAAAAGTATGAACTTCAATGTATGCACATGTGAATAAATGAATTAAAAAAAAATTTTTTAAAGGGAAAGTATGAACTTTACCCCTGCTAGTCCTAGAAACATTTTTACCAGTCTTTGGTAAAAATGTGTCACTTAACATGTAGATAAAACTAAGGAGATTTTTGTGAGAAATACACAATTAATAGCCAAAATAGTTATTTATTAATAATTTAAGGTATTACATTCTTATAATAAATTCCAGCTCAAAACTTTACACCACGAACATAATGGAACAACTCTCCCTTCTTCATAATCAGATGCATTCCACCTGTCTATTAGGTACCCATGCTCTCATACACACTTCCAGTTTTCTTTTTAAAAAGGAAAGAAACCAACCCAAAGTATTGCATTTGAAGTGACACTCCCTGAAGAATTTTGTACAGAGGTAAAAACTGTTTAGCACAGCTGAAGTTTAAAAAAAAAGTGAGCCCATATTTTGGTATCTTTCCAAGATTACCCCCTTTGAGACAACTCAGCCAAAATATTTACAAAGGTAAGGCATAGTCAAACTACATTAAGAGGAAAGAAAAAAAATCACAATTATCAGACTTCATATATATGAAACTTTTAGACTGCACCGTAACAAAGTCTTAGTGTAACAGTGTCCATGAAAATGTCCTCAGAATTGGTACAATAGTCATGCATGCTGCAAAAATACCCTTTGGATTAGAAAAGAACAAAATTTTCCTTTTTTTTTTTTGTTTTTTTTTAAAGATGTGACATACAACTCTTCCTTTGGATTTCTCTAAAACCCTTCAAAGAAAAAAAAAAAAAAACCAAACAATCCAAACAAACACTGCCAAGTGATTTAAGATCAAGTATTTACAATAATCAAATGGAGTTATCAGGTTTTTAAAATTTTTATTTTTTCACCCCCAAACTGATACCACAAATACAGAGCTGAAATCTCTTTGGCTCCACTATATGCAAAGTTGAATCAGTCTTCACTGAAGACAATATATAGTTAGTTTCAGATGCAAAAGAAAGAGCCATACAAGGCCCCAAAGAACACATGCTTTTACCCTACCATTTGGTCATACCCTATATACCTGGAAGTCCTGAATTCCAGTCCCTGCATGGGTAGGCTGTACACATGTGTGCAGAGCAAACCTACTGCCTGTATCTAGACAGCAAGTCCTGTTCTTCCAAAGAGAATGGAACAAATCTCTCCCTTTGTAATAACCAATTCCACACTTGGTAACCTTGTCTAATACAGACAGCTGGTGACATTTTTGCCACCTGGGGCCATATACAAAGAAAGCAGCCCAGCGGATGCTGCCAAGAGAAACTGCTGAAGGAACAGGATACTTCCAGCCAGGAGAGAGGTGGTGCCTTTCACGTGGATTGCAGGGAGTCCACCTGGTACACATTCTGGTTGGAGGGAGTGGTGAAATACAGCTGCTGTGCTGGAACCCGGTTGTCACATGGGCTGCTGAGTCCCAGCGTCCTCTCAAAGTCTAACAACTGGCCCATGAAGTTGAAGTTAGGGGAGATGTTAGATTTCTTCATTTTGACAATGTCATAAGCATCATTCATGGACAGATTGAGCTTCTGCATAAGGTACGCCACAGTCACAGTGACTGAGCGGCTGATGCCAGCCAAGCAATGCACCAAGACACCACAGCTTTTGCCCCGGGCTTCATCTGTAAATACAAAAAGAAAGGCAAGATTTCAGTAGACTGAAAAACTACCCTTTGTGAATGATCGGTCCAAAATCTGAATAATGATCTATTAAAAAAAAAAGTCTTGTGTGGCAGTTTAGCCCTGCAGCCAGCAGAAAATGTATCATTGATATAAACATGCACTCTGGACACAATTACATATTTCAGATATTTTCTGAAAAGGGAGCTTTTGTATTAAGTTTTTACCAACAAAAAAAAAGTCCTTAATGTGTGCATTCTTTGCCTCAGCATGTGAATACCAAAAAGCCTGCAATATGGTCGTGAATGCCTTTTATATAGACAAGCAGACTGCAAGGGTCTATTAAATTATTCTCCAACTGTTGGGCAGCTAACAATGGAGGTATTCAGGCGTTTTAAAAGAGAGAGGGAAGTCACAGGGGACAGCCCATTAGGAGGAACAGGATGTCGACATGGCCTGAAAATGAGTTCCTTTGTAATAGGAAATGTACAATGCCTGGAGATTCACTTCTCTCCGGCTTCTAGCCCACAGTTCTTCCTGCTGGGATCAGGTTACCCGCTGTCTCACTGTTACCAGTATCACAGTATCACTGGACTGGGTAACATTTACCACCCATGCTGCTTTCCAACAACTAACTTGGTGTCCTAAAATAACTCCTAGATCTTTTAAATTATAAAGCAATGCTAAAATTCCTATTTACAATGAGTACTTCTATTTTGTTTTCCAGCCCAAGTCCAAAAAATGGGAACAATCTTTGTCTGATTATGAATCTCAAAAGACTGAACCCTGAGGTTGAAGAAACTGTGTTTCAAATACACTTGTGTTCTAGAGCAATGTCAAAAGGCACATGAGGTTTTTTCTTTTCCCCTTGGGGGTAAAAAATTAGGAAGCTCTAGGAATACTAGAGACACACTACTCAACAAATTAGTAAGAACAATTAACAGCTTAAACTATGAATGGCTGAGAGTCTTGCATTTAAAAGTCAGAACAACGACTGTTAATTAGCCTCACCTATGAAAGAAATAGCCTCAGGGAAAAACTGGGACAGGTTTTGGCTCCAGTGATCCGAAATAGGGATTTGCTTGTATTTGAACTCTCCTGCGTTCTCAAAGAGATTGGGCAAATTGGGGGTGACATTCAAGATGTACTTGATGCCGAACTCCTCCAACACGTCCAAGTTGGTAGAGTCCTTGGCACAGCCCAAGTACAAGAAGGGCAAGATTTCCACGGGAAAGGAAGGCTGGCTGTTGGATAGCGGGCTGCCATCTGAGTCCGTTGCACTATTGGGGTCTCGGTCAAGGTCAGACTCAACGTCGGAGGAAGAGTCGGAGCTGATCCGCAGGCCCCCGAGCCCCAGCACTGGCAGCGGGGGCGAGCTGCTGCTACACGAGCCGTCTAGATTGGTCTCGCAGTGCAGGGCGAACTCGGCTTGGAACTTATTGAAGCCACCTGCCAAACGAGAAAAGCAATCTTGTAACCCGAGATGCTGTAGTAATTTTCACAGCTTGTGAGAACCGCAGCTGGGCGCAGGAAACACCGCGAGCGCCCATACAAAACCCCTGCACATAGTCAAGTAGAAGAGAACACACTTTATGTGCACATTTGGGAATACAACAACAAAATGCCCCGGGGAGCATTTTTAATCCGGAAATGCACAAAATGGCAACTTTCTGGAGATTTCGAGGGGCTAGAAGGTGCCAATCTACACCCCACCCCCAACTACCTCTCACTCTGCCATCCTTAGTTCAAAATCGAACGACAGAACACAGAGAAAGATGAAAGACGTTATGGGTTAAAAAAAAAAAAAACCTCAGAACTCGTAACAAACCCCGCTTGTCAGGGGCGGGAGGAGGATTCCACGCCGACCAGGTTCTCCCAAGCGAAACGCGCCCGGTTGGCGGCCACTACCTCGCCCCGGGCCAGCCCCAAGGTGGGCAGCGCAACTCAGAGCAGCACCAGCGGGTGCAGCAAAAGCGTTTCCAGCCCGCAGCCCTGCGCCTCCACCCCTCTCCGCACTGAACTCCCGGGAGGCATACCTTCCAGGTAGAACGCCCGGCAGCCCTCGTCCTTCAGCTTCTTAAGCAGCAGCCCAAGCACCGACTCGCCACCCGTGTTCTCATTCCAATCGCTGCTGTTCTCGTCGTAGAGCACCACGGTGTCGGTGCCGCAGCGCCTGGTAAAGCGGTCCCGGTCCTCGCCACGCGTGAAGAGCGCGCGCACCGGCAGATTACCCTTTTGCAAGCGCCTCAGCATGATACCCGGGATGGCCACGTTGATGGCCGACTCGATGTGCGACGACTCATACAGCTCCTGCGGCCGGCAGTCCATCAGCAGCAGCCGCTCGTTGCCCAGCTCCAGTTGCTCGTTGAGCCACGCCACCGTCTTGCTGATCGCCATTTCCGACGCGAACGGCACGGGTCTGAGCGTATCTATCATGGGGGTCGAGCTGCGGGCGAGGGCGGATTGCCTACCAGACGCCCCTCCAGGCAGGCATAGGCCGGGCGCGCAGCGCGAAGCCGCCGCTCTGGCAGCGGGGTTTAATTCCGCCTCGCCTTTCCCAAGCCGAGGCTACCAGTTGGGGAAAGCGAGACAGAAGTGAAGCCGGAGGAGTCCCTCTGCACCCGGCTGCAGCCGCTCACTCTTCCAGTCAATGAATCTCTCTGAATGAAGCTGCCCAGTTATGCTCCTTCTCAGTGAATGAAATCCAATTAATTCGGACTCCGTGCCACTGAGATGGGAGAAGAAAAAAAAAAAGTCTAGCGGCTCCTAATCCCTCCCTTCAAGACTGCACCTCAGATCCACCCGGGTGTCTTTCTCCCCGGATTATTGCAGACTCGATTTGCTCACAGTACTTAGGACTGAGCCAGAGCACACCCCCAGCTCGAGGCAGCTCCTCAATGGATACAAACAGCAAGCGTCTCAATGGATACATTCTCCCCGCCAGCCAATGAGAGCGCTGCGGAAGGGGCTGTTGCCGTGGGGACGGGCCGGCTGGAACAGGTTGTGTTGATGAATTGTTAATGAGTTTGTCATTCACAAAAACGGAAAGGAATTTCCGCTCCGGATAAGCCCCAGTGCAAACAAGCTGCAACAGCGGGCTCGGCAGGAGGAAGGAGAAAGAAGAGGAGGCGGCGGTGGAGGAGGAGCAGGGCACATAAACCAGGGCACTTCAGTTGTCTCATGTTTCCTTCTGTTGAGAGTTCACACTTCGCGTTGGAACTTTTGCGCACAAATGGTGCAATTAGCATGCACAAAAGCCCTTGTTCGCGACGCTTGTGCTCTCAAGCTAGCTTCAGGAAAACTTGTGCTGACTTTTTCCCTTTTTATTCCCTTCAAACTCATTTGGACCCAAGTTCGCCTTAACCCCCCGCCCTCCTTTAGGCGGTGTGTGGCATTTGTTTGCCTATTTAAGAAGCCCAGTTCTGTTTGATGTTCTTTTAGCTGAGGACTGTGTTGGGGCTGGTGAGCTGCCTGGGCTTTAGTGACCGACGATGTGTTAAATGCTAATCCAACCTCTCTCGAAACAAACCAAGGATTTTGTTTAAACATTTTAAAGCAATCAACCACACAAACCTCTGGTTATCCAGAAAATCAGAAGAAAGCTTTTTTTGTTTTTTTCTCAGTAGAGCTTCATTTTCTTTAAACAGTGGAGACTGCAGGAGGGAAAAAAAAAAAGTTGGACAATCCGACGCTTTTATTCCGCTCCGGCGGCGTGAGGCGTTATGAGACATTGTTACAAAGATCCAACTCACTCTTCCCCCCACCCCCATACGCTGGGGGAGTCACACTCCTCAATGATTCTGGGCAAGGAGCCGGCCTGGCAGGGCTGCCTGTGGTAGGTGCATTAGGACACGCCGAGCCACACTGGCAGTCCCCGCCACCAGCGAGGCATGGGGAAGGCGTCCAGGCTGCGGGGACTCAGTCGGCTGGCTCGGGGATTGGTTACTGTAGACAGAGAAACGCATGTCACAGGGGCGCCTTCCTACCCCTATCCCCCGCCCCAGCCCCTCCTCTGACTACAGCCAGGCACCAGACGTGCTTGCCTGCTGCGCGCCTTGAAACTGCCCCGCAGCCCCCGCCTCCCGGGGTGGGGGTTGGGAAGGAGAGGGAAGAGGCACCCGGCCTCACGCGACCCTGTGGATGCGTGAGGGTCTGAGCCCAAAACTCTCCTGCCCGGAGAGGGTGGGGAGAAAAGAGTGCCAATCGCGACCCCTGGGCCCGCAAGTGTGGCGGGGAGTGGCAGGGATCGCCTCCGCGGCCCGCAGGTAATTTGGCAAGGTGTTGGTCAGGCCGGCGAGCTACGCTCATCCCAGGCGCGCGGAGCTGGGCGGGCGGACTGGAAGCCGGATGGAGGTGTGGCCGGACAGGGGCCGCGGCGGCGGGGAGGCGCATTCCCGGCGCGCAGAGCTCCATTGTTACATAAAAGTGCCGAGGCCGCCCATCCCGGGCGGAAAGCCACCTGTGTGCGGCGGGGCGGCGGGGCTGTGGCCGGAAGGCGCGGGGCCCTAATCCGGCCTCCCCAACCCCCCCGCGGAAAAGAGGCCGCGCGGTGGCCGCCGCTGCCTGGGAGGCGGAAGCGGGGGCAGCGGCCGGGCCGGGGCGCGGTTTGCCGCGTCCCTCCCCGCGCCCTGCTCCCACTCTGAACGCAGCGAGGGCACCTGAGGTCGCGGGGTCCCCCCTGGCCCGACGCCCCGCACCCGCCGGCCTGCCCGCTGACGCCCCCGCTGCAATTTGCATTTTTAGTCACCCGCCTCTTCCCTGGTTTGGGAAATGTAGGCTAAAAAAAGGCGGCTTCGAAGCCCAACTTGCCAATTTTGGAGCCCTGCGGCAGGCAGGCCGCCCCTAGAGGAGCATGATCAAGGAAAGTGGGGGCTGCCTCGATGCTCTCTACGCGCCTTTTTGGGCAGCTTTTGGAACAAAACGCCCATATTTTACCGGATAGCTTCCAGTTCCAGCTGTGGGGGGGCCCGCGCTGTAGCCCTCCGCCCCCGAAGCCTTCCTCATCTGTTACAGTCTTTCCCACCCCAAGTCCTTTCAGTCTTTGGGACCAAGGGCTGGGAGGAGCCCAGGACCTCCAGCAGAAGAGAAGGAAGGGGAATTGAGTTTCTGTTTATTTTTAAAGTGTAGTTTCCTTAATGTGAGCATAGATTTAGGAGGATAATCACACTTTGCAAACCTAATGACAAGTATTTCGTTTTTACCTATATTTTTGAATCTTACGGCAATGGGAACTCAGTTCTTCCCTGCATATTTTATTAAATAGTACTCCTGTCACTGGGTCCTACGAAATATGACATAGGTCAGGCGCTGGTGGAGCACACCTGTAATCCTAGCTACTTAAGAGGCAGAGATCAGGAGGATCGAAGTTTGAGGCCAGCCCGGACAAATAGTTCCCAGGACCCTATCTTGAAAATACCCAACACACACACACACACACAC